TTGCTTACATTGTTGCATGCAAACACCTTTTATACAGCTCTTGTCAAGAATAGAAATTCCTGCAGAATGGACAACCAGCAATCCCTTTTTTCTCTGCATCCCATGATAAGCTGGTAGATGACCAGCCCAGCTCTGCAGTCTCCCAGCATCCTGACATCTGTGGTGTCACAACCTGCACTACCAAATTCCTGCCACACTTAGGGTAGAAGAACCAGTTATTTGTATTTGATGAGGGAGGAGACCCACCCACCAACTGTTTCTCCAGCCTTCTGTCCAAAGAAGGCAAGGATGTAAACCAGAAAAACCTTGAGAGCTGAGCAACTTGTCTGTGAGACTGGAGGTAGGGGGAGATCAACAAGAAAGGGTGAGCAGTGGTTTAACCCCAGGCAGCAGCCAAGAACCAAACAGCCAATCACACAGTCCTCCACCAACAGGATGGGGAAGAGAATTGGAAGGGTAAAAGCTAGAAAACTCATGGGTTGAGATAAAGACAGTTTAATAGAGAAAGTAAAAGCTGCACACACAAGTAAAGCAAAACAAGGAATTAATTCACAGCTTCCCACAGGCAGGAGGTGTTCAGCATCTCCAGGAGAGCAGGGCCCATCACATGTAACAGTTCCTTGGGAAGACAAACACCATCACTCCAGATGTTTCCCCCTTCCTCCTTCTTCCTCCCATCTTATATACTGAGCATGATGTCCTATGGTATGGAATATCCCTTTGGTCAGTTTGGGTCACCCTTTGGTCAGTTTGGTCAGTGTCTCCTCCCAACCTGCCATGCACCCCCAACTTCCTCACCAGTGTGGCAGTGTGGGAAGCAGCAAAGGCCTTGGCTCTGTGTGAGCTCTGCTCAGCTACAGCAAACACATCTCTGCATCATCAACCCTGTGCCCTGCACAAATCCTAAACATAGCCCCATCCTAGCCACTGTGAAGAAAGTTAACTCTACTTTAGCCCAAACCAGCACAGCCAGGAGACCTCCAGAAGTAAAGCAAAGACATGAGAGGGAGAAAAAAAAGGAAGAAAGAAGCAGACAAGGCATTAAAAAAAATAATTGTAGAGCAGGATGGATGGAAATGGAAAAAGAGGGGAAAAGGAAGGGGAGGGAAGGTAAAGGCCAGAGCCGTATTTGGAAGGAAAGAGGAAAAGAGAACAGAATGGTTACTAGGAAGAGAGTGAGAAGAAAAGTCAGTTAATAAAAGTAGGGTTGGTCTGCACTAGAGTTTTCTCTTTTCCCTTTTATCTTCTGTAAAAATATTTGAGCCATAGTGAGCCTGCATGAGGACTGAAGTTTGACAGTGAGATGCCTCAGATAACATCATTAATCAGCAAGAATGCTCAGTGTCAGTGCAGGCTGGAGGCATCAGTGGCATTTTGTGTTGTTGCTCCAAACATGTGTAACCAAAGCATTGCCAGATACCTTCAGACCTTGCTTGGAGCAGCTTGAACAGAGTGAGCACAGAACACTTCAGATGCTCTGCAGAGCAGCACTGTGCAGAGAGGAAAACATCTTCCTCTTATGGGACAGCATGGGAGGGTTAGCGTGGGACTGTGCAAATGCATTCAGAGCTCTGCTGGGATGGGGTGTTATCTCTCCTTCCATAGCACTGGGCTCAGCTGCCAGTGGATAAAATGTAGGTAGTGGTAGCTATGTTGCAGCCACTAGGACTTTTTCCTGTGGTTTGGTTTTTTTTCCTTTGTAAAATTATTTTTTTTGTGGCAATCATGCTGCCTGTAGCTGTGGTGGTTTGAGCTGGGTGCAGTCAGGCTGCAGCTTTGCTCCAGCCTGAGCTATTGATGCCCTGCTCCTCAGAGTGCACTGGAGTGTGTTCTGCATCCTAAATACCTCTGTGTGGCTGAGATGATGGTACCTCTGTGCTACAGGTTGTGGAGCACAACTTGTAAACCTGCTTTCTCAGTAAAATTCAAGGTGGTTGGGCAGAGCTTTTCTGGGCTGCTCCCTTACACAGTAAGGAAGTAGTATGGGGTGTTTTGAGTGAGGGGCTTGCTTCGATTCCTTGAACCAGCCTCACTTCTAAGGGTTTTGTGCAAGCCCTTGTCATATCACTGCTGTGCAGAGCAGAGTCTGGAAGTGCAGAACTGAGTCTTCCTATACTCAGCTACAATTTTTATTCTCATATATATATAAATTCTTACCACATTATTGTACATTATGTTTTCCTGAATGGAAATAAATTGCAGGCTTGCATCTAGTTTCCCCTCTCTTTTATTGTTATTTTAAGCAGCAGGTAAGGTTATAATCCATCTGTGTTTGTGACCTTGAACAAGAATGGGCACTTTCTCATTTACATAATGCTGGTTTTTACTGAGCCATTAAACTGCAGAAAAACAGGGCCAGCATGAAAAGAAGTCATCTACATATGTTAAAAAAATAACTGCAGTAAATCCAACTGAAGAAAGCAGACTTTTAAAAATATGCCAGAGTTCAAGAAATTAAAAAGCAAATGGACTGTAAAGGCGGTTTTACTGCAAGAAAAACCTCCTAAAATAAGATCCTTAACAAATGCCTGTCTGCACTTGGTGTGCTGGTACTCTGCCAGCAGAAAACTGCTCCCCCGAGAGTTCCTGCCTTTATCAGGAGGGATGCTCCTCATTCCCCTGGGAGCCACAGCTCTGCAGCCCATGGCACAAGGGTGCCCCAGCATTATGAACCTGTTTCAAAATTTTGCCTGGGGGAAAACACACAGCTGGGGCTGTTTGCATCACCAATTGTGTATGTTAGTGCTGAGTTATGAAATAACCCTGACTTTTTCATGTTGTGAATAACCATTACAGCAGGAACTGTAATGACAAGACATGGTGATTCGGAAGGAGTGAAACATTTGATTTACTGCTGTTGATTCAATTTCTGAAATGGGCACTAATCTTGATCAATAGGCTTTCTGCAGCTTCTGGGATACATTTTATCAAGCTGTCACACTGACTCTTGTTTTTTCTCTTGTGAGGTTCTTAACTTGTGCTTTGCTAAGCAGGATTGTGCCAGGAGTTTGTGGGTGGGGAAGGTAAGGGAAACTGCTCTGTGGGCAACCCAAGGGTGGCCACTGCTTCTGGAGAGCAGCGAGGGGCTCTCTGCCAGGGGTGGCTGCTGCTGCACATGGACAAGTGTCTCTGTCACACCCCCAAGCTCAGCACGGAGCAGCTGGCAACATGCAGCCTGCAGACCTGAGCAAAGCAGCCCCTCTCTGCAGGGTGAAGGCTGTGGGTGGGCTCTGCTGAGGGCACTGTGTGCTGGGTCTCTGTCCTACACCTCTCTGATTCACAGCAATTTCCTCTGGCACTTGAGGAGCTGTGGAGAGCTCAGTGTGGTATCAGCTGTCATCAAGCTCCAGTGTTCCATCAGCAGACACAGAAGCAGGATGGAGCTGGCAGTCCTGCTAGTGATTCACAGCACACAAACCCAGCTCACCCTCTCTAGTTACCCTAGAGCAGCTCTGGAGTGTCTGTGCTGCTGTCAGTCACCAGCTGGAGCACAGGGGCACTGAGTTGCACAGCTCACATTTCTGTGTTTCCCAGTATATTATTAATTTGTATTACAGTCACTCCTAATGGCCCCAAATGAGATCAAGGCAGCACTGGCTGGAGGCTGTGCATACAGAGGAAGACAGCTCCTGAATCCAGGAGCACCTAATCTAATCAGCTAGTGAGTGTCTGTACAGTGGAGAGAATGGTTTCTGCCTCTGAATTCTCCCATATGCCATGGTTCCCTGGCCAGTCTGCTGCCTGACACAGATTTCCCCCAACAGCAAAGTGCTAAAGCAGCCCTCATTTGAGATGGAGGTTAGTTTCTTAATGCAAAGCACGTGGAATATGTTCTGTTGGGCTGTACTAAAAAGCAAATTAGTTCCTGATTGCCTGAGTCTTCAAATGGTCAGATCTCCACAGGAGAAGCTATATAATTTTGAGTGGATTCCCTCTTCCAGATGGAAATTCTGAAAAACCCCCACCCTATTTGGGGCTGAGACAGGAGAGTAGAGCACAGCCCTGACTTCACATATGGAAAAAGTTCAGGGGGATGAGCTTTTGAACAAGGCTCTGAAACCCATGATTATGCTAATCCAATAACCTGAGGGCCATGGATGAAATCCTGAATTCATTAAAGTTAGTGACAAAATATCTTCCTCTAGGGACTAGGGGAATGAAGCAACTGGCAATCCATTATTTCAAACTACAAGCTGATTAATGGGGTAATTTTGATACAGATCGAGGTATGTTTTCTGTCCCTTTCTCCCAGAGCTAGAAATATATCCTGACTTGATTTTTCCTTCAGACTTCATACAAGAGATGACAGAATCCTGTTCATCAATGTGTTTATTTCTAAGAAGCATTGTAGACACAAATTTTAATGGTGTGTGGAGTTGCAAGGTCTGTGGCTTTAGGAAGGAAAAGGATTTATTCTGGAAATAATTTACTTGCACAAACTCACTGTGATTTTTCAGAACCTTACTGAACACCTTCAAAATATTCATTAGAATGTATAATTATGTAGTAAATCTTACTGTTGTATCAAAAGGTTTGAAATACATGGAAATCTTTTCAGACTGTTTCTGGAATCATGGTAAAACTCAGCTGTCATAAAAGGTAAAGCTCTGGAGAAAGAAAAAAGCTTGAAATATATTATCCTTAAGTGCTCATAAAAAGCTGGAGGGTAATTAAAAATAACTTATTAAAACATACTGCTTTTATTACCTCGTGAATTCAATCTCATGATGTCAGATTCCTCACATTTGTGCACGCTGCAGGGTGCACGTTTTGGGGTAACTAATTTTCATTGAATAATACAGAAGGGGAAGACATTGGGAGAAGAAAACTATTCATTCTGGGGAGTACTAGGAAACACCTTTTAATTCTCTCCCACCTGAAACCAGAAGACAACTTATCCCAAGGTTAAACTCAAGTGTCCTGATCCAGTTGTGTCAGTAGGTTTCCCTCGAGCTGCTGTTTGACTGTCTTTGTTTTGCTCTCTTTCTTTCTCTCCACAGTGTGATAATGACAGGTGCATATAACAACTTTTTTCGAATGTTTGACCGAAATACAAAACGAGATGTTACCTTGGAGGCTTCCCGAGAGAGCAGTAAACCAAGAGCTATTCTTAAGCCCCGGAGAGTCTGTGTTGGAGGCAAACGGAGGAAAGATGACATCAGTGTTGACAGTTTGGACTTTACTAAGAAGATCTTGCACACAGCATGGCACCCAACTGAGAACATCATTGCTATAGCAGCGACAAACAATCTGTACATATTTCAGGATAAAGTGAACTCAGAAATGCACTAGATTTATCAATATCCCTCTATATTTACAAACCAGCCTCTTGAGAGTTGTAGAAGGATGTGATCTTCACAGAAATTGTGGCTTCTATGGTGGGATCTGTAGGTTGCATCCTTTCATCCCTCAGCCTGTATCATTATTGGTGGCAAGCCAACTATTTTCCATCACTGCAACTGTATGAGTAAAAGGCACGACTGCAAATCCAGTACTGTGGTCTGTATCAGTTCCTTTAATCAAACAGGGGTATTTATTCACTTTGGGAGCATTCCTGAGGAGGGCTGAGGCTCCTCAGCTCCCATCCATCCTTTCAAGGGTCTCGGTGGTTTGCAGGACCATGCTGTTCTGGTGCCCAGCCTGCTTTTGCAGTCCACAGCATTTACCACATTGTTAGAGCTTTTTGCCTCAATCTCTCAATTGTTTTAGGTTTTTTTTCCAGTACTGTTTTCCCGTCTTTCAACTAAGCCAAGCCTGTTTGAGAGAATGAATAGCCACATCCCTTTAGAGCATGTGGCACATTGGAGAGGCCTCATGACAGTTCTAGCTGGAAGCAGAATCCCTGATGGTGAAAAGCTGCCCCATCTCACCCACCCCAATCCCTTCTTTACAGTACCCTCTTAGTTATTTATCTATCACATTACTTTATGCTTCACTTTCCCAAGTGAATAAGTAGCAGACTAGTGTAGTTACTCAGCCGTCTTATTTTAAGGAGTTTATTCTCCATAGATCTCTTTGCTCTGTTTAAAACAATAAGTAGTATCTTCATTGTGTGGAGGACTATTAAAAAACTTGGCATTGCCATTCCAGAGGGATTGTCTGGTCAGACACAGCCTGACAGTTAACACACAGACCTGTCCTACTGTTTAGGGGTTGGAATTCTGGAAACCTTGGCTAGAAGTGCTGTCCTTGAAGGCAACGACCAGCTTCAGTGGGAATAAAGTTACATCACTGCTAGACACTTCATAAAGTCCCTCATTTGTTGATTGCAGCGTGGTTATGTTAATCTTGGCCTTGGGGGAATATAGGCAGTGCCTGGTGTCTGTGACTGTGAAAAGAATGGTACTGTGAGATGCAGCACAGCTTGGTCAATGTTAATGCTTTTAAATGAGCCCACTGCTGGGAGACAAAATTATTGCTGGAGAAACATGAAAAATCAAAAATCCAAACAAAACAAAACTTTCTTCATTTAAATACTGTTAGATCTATCTGTGTTCTAAAGTGATTAGTGATGTAAATGGAAAAGGGAAGTTTAGCACATGCAGGAATGATAGAGGAATGGTGTTGTGGGCAGAGAGTCCTCTTAATCCAGGAAAAGAAAGTTCTGCTGCACCTCTAATAGCTCTGGCAGAAAATTCAGTATCCCAAAGGATTTCTACTCAAAGCGTGAATAAAAGAGCACAACTCAATGACCTGTTAATCTCCCGTATTAAAACTCCTCAGAAAACAAACAGTCTTTAAGCCATTATGCACTGATTTCTTGGTAAGTGGAGAATGTACTGATGAAGGGATCTGCATGCTTTTATATTTTGGTTTGGGGGGAAGGGTGGGTGAAAATCTGCTTACAAGAAATAAAAAAAAAGGGAACAAAGTCTACAGCTTTTATATGACATCTCAACACAACACCTGAAATCTGTCTGTTTGAAGTTTTCTAGATCAGTGCTGTATATTTTGTGTGTAGAAGCACAAAAGCATGTGCACCAGTTTCCAGCCACACTAAACACATAGGGTATGAAATGTGTAGGGCAATTTTGAAGGGAACGAAGAATGTTTGTTTATAAAATACTGTATGCTGTAGCAGGCATGGACAGTATATGTACATATTTATTCTAATGAAATTTAACAAAATTGCCTTTTTTTTTCCTCTTGTAAAAAGGTTTAAGAATGTGGTAAATTGTATAGAAAACTTGTTAATGCCAAACTACTGCTTCAAGGGTGTCATACAATTTCTTTGACTTTTGGCCCCCTCCATTAACCTTTGCAGCTCAAAAAGAAAAAAACAAACATTGCTATCAGCTCATATTGGCATTTACAGCTAGAGATACTGTAAAACATATATTTAGCTTTTAACATTCTCAAGTAAGATTCTATAGATAACTTATTATAAAGCAGATCTTAATGCAACAATTTTTTTTTTGCTTTTAATTTGAAGTACCTTACTCTGATACAGCTTTGGGTACCAAAAAGAACATGTTAAAATGAAGTAAAGAAATATATCTTCGGAGCTTTATAAAACGAATTAAATTCCCAACCAAAATACCATGAAGTGATTATAGAGGAAATAAATAGAAACCTTTCAAAGACCAGTATTCCGTTCCTGTCTCTGACATCACTGCTACAGATCGGTTTCCTGGTTTCTTGAATGTATGGAAAGTTAACATCGTCATTGTGAACGTTTCCAACTTTCTTTCTCTTTTTAGTTTGAGCTTTCAGTGGTGTAGAGTAAGTGATGGTAAAGTTGGTAAATCTGATTGTTTTGAAAGCTGTTGTTCATGGCTGCATTCTTTGTGTTGCACAAATTAGCTAACTGTTGTTGAATAAAAATATAAATATGTTAATACCAGCTTTTTCAATAAAACTACAACCAAAAAGGCATAAATAGATGACTTCAAGGCACAGCTTATTTTTAAGCCAGGCATGAAAGAGTTGCTTAGCTCCTTTTGCCAGTGAGGAAGACTCACTGGAATTGGGACTCAGAGGACAAGCTGCTATGGGAACTTAAGTGTTGTGGCAGGTAGAGAAGTAAACACAGTGCCAGGAGTGGGACTGGGGGTGTAGTGTGATGAAGAGTGTGTGCAGCTGTAGCAGAGCTGGAGGTACACTTTTAGTTCAGCCTTTGGACCAGCTTTTTCTTCTGCTCATAGCCCAAGCTAGACTTTAGGAGACTTGAGTCTCAGCCTCCAGCAGATGGAATAAGAGATATGCACAATGTGGATTGACACACAGAATCACAAGGTGAAAAAAATGGCATTAGTGTCATCACTGGCCAGGTTGGAGACCTTCCAGCACAGCAGAGCGTGGGGACACATCTGGGATGTGTCCAGGCCTGGATTCCCAAATGAGATACATACTGGCCCAGGCAGCCAAACAGAACACTACCAGCAGAGCAGCATCCCACTTTCCCCCAACCAGTCTATTTCTACCTCCACCACAGAGGAAAATAAAATAAAATATTAATTTAAGAAAAAAAAAAAGGGACAAAAAAAATGCTGGCTTGGCACACACACTTAAAGCTAGGAGAGCTTTCACTTCCCAGTCCAAGCTGCTGCCTGACTCTCCCTGGTGATCACGATACTTGCCCCAGATCTGGGGTGGCTCTCTTGAATCTCAGTCTAAGGCAGCTAACCCTCCCTATTCTGCACAGTGCCCCAGGGGCTGCTAAGCTGCCTGCCATCAGCACAGAGTTAAGACACTGAGAGGCTGAGGTCTTTTTCTGGATGCAGACCAGAATAAATTTGCCTCAGCTGTTACACGAGGCAGTGTGTGGCTTTGCACAGCTCTCCCAGAGCTTACATGCTAATTCTCCCCCCCCCCTTCTTGGGAAGACACAGTCAATCCCACTCATTTAGATGGACAAATATGACCAGGCACCGAAGAGAGAAATCTCAGCTGAAAATCAACACATCAAGGAATACACTATTTATTTACCTTTCCAGTTTCCCTTTTCATCCCCAAATACCCACTAGGAGCAGGAGCCAGATGGCTAGCACTCATGCTTTTGAAATTTTCACATGCATACTTAGTAGCTGCATACGGCAATTTAACCCTTTGCGGTTTGGGGGGAGATACTGGCATGAGCCACCTGCTTCTCTGGTTTGCAGCCAGCAAGTTGTCTCCCTGTCGGGCAGAGTTAAGTCCTTTGGAGCCTCTGATTGCCCCTGATGAGAGGGCAAGTATAAGGATTGTCTGCCTTTATATCCAATACTCAGTAACACCATCAATTTGCTCCCACTCCCAGTAGGAATTCTTTTCCATTTGCAGTCTTCTCAGCAAATTGTGTTAAGTCTAAAATTAGAGCACGAATTCACTTATCTTGCTCATGTGGCAGAACCAGGATTGCTGGAGTAGGCCTAATTTTATAGGGACAGGATATGTTTCTTAGGCTTTGTGAAGCCATGAAACAGTCTGGATATTCTGTACAGGCCAGTTCACCTTGTGTTCTGGAAAGCTTTGCTCTCAGAATGCACCATGAGAAAGCTTTTCTTAGAAGTGAAATTTTATTTTCCTTCTCACTGAATTTGGAAGAGGATCAAATTTTTACTCATGTGAAAGTGGGCACAAGTCTTTAGTGAGTTGTAGACTCTAAATCAAGTCTTTAGGCAGCTGTAGATCCTAAATCTGGCCCATGATACAAAGCATTTCATGTGGAGCACTTGACTGAGTAAACTCCTCAATTCCCTCATCTGCCATGAATATGAATCAGCCAGGCAAGTTACAGCTAATTACTTGTCTTGCTATTTGGCAAGTGGAGACAGTCAATGAGTAGGACAAGATCCTTAAACCAACAATTCCATTAAGCAGTTACTTTAATTATCATGGTGATGCTATACATTCTTTTTAAAACATGACTGCTAAAAGGAATTAACCCTACAACAGTGACCCTATCAAAGTATGAGGGTGGTTTTTCTGGACAGTCACTTCTTGTTTTAAGACTAGCACTAATCATATTAGTAACATGCATATCTCATGCAGCAGCCTGATCAAAGATAGCTCAACAGGTTCCCAAGCAGATTAAATACAGGACCAAATTCTTCAGCTAGCAACAGGTTATGTGGATATGGCAATACGACTGTGCTCCAGGGAGAAGAATACTTAGTTTGGAGAACTCCAGAAATCCCATCACCACCTTCTGTGGCCTCATCATAATTCCTCCAATAGGACGAACGACTCTGGGGGGAAAAAAAATCACTGTAAGTTATAAAAAAATGAGTAATTGAAATTGGAATTAGTGTCAGACTGGGAGAAAAGAGGTTGATATTCTTACATGCTAGATCTATAATGTAAATGCCACCCAAGCAAGCCATGAGAGTGAGACCCCACTGTCAATAATTTGTGCCAACACCCCAGCTCTGGCAGGTTCTTGCTTTCATTTCCCCTTGGCTAGGCTTGAACATCCCCAACAGCTTTGCTAGGTGCTCTGGACAGGGCTCCTTCTCATTTTAGTGGGAAGGTGCAGAAAGAAGTAGAGGTTTCCCTCAGGAGAGGTCCTGG